GGCAGGAAGGACCGGGTGGTCACCGCGGCCCGCGGCAGCTGCCTGCAGAGGGCACTGCTGGCTCCCGGAGCCGAGTCCCGTGGCCGGCATCCATATGTATAGGGACACGGGGATCTCTAGGTGCCGGTGGCACCGTTTATTTGGGTTAAAAACAGCAGACACGACTCGGGCAATCCGGGATCCCCTCCGCCGCACTTACTCGGGGCTGCCCCATGCTGCCAAAACGGTTGAAGGACCCCTCGGGCCTGGTACCCAGCTTGGGTAACCCCGAACCAGCCCCCACCCCAGGGGTGCTCACCTACCTCGACCCTCATTCCACCTGTCCAACACCCATCCAGATGTTCTAACCTGCCCGACATTCCAGCTGTGCTCACCTGTCCCACGCCCCCCAGTCGTGCCAGTTCTCTCCCATTCCCCTTGTCTGCAGTGACATTTAGGCCCACAGCTCCCCTCTCCTCCCCACTCCCTCCCACCTCCCTTCTCTTCTGCTTTCCCTGTCCCCACCAGCCCTGGCTGCCACGCCCCAGGCCTGGCCCTGACAATGGGGACTCCTGCCTCATGCTTTGCTTTTTTTACAAAAATAGATAAATTATTATAAACTTGAACATTAAAATTATAACATATACTAAACAGGGCCCTGTGTCACTGAGAGCCCCGTGGCTGAAAGCAGATGTTGGCAGAGTGACGAGCCATGCAAGGGGGGTACTGCATCCACTCAACACTCAGGCAGGGAGTCCCCAGAGCAAGGACGATCCTGCTGCAACACAGCCCTGGAAGACACAAGCTGGGGAAAAGTAGAAGGGTCCCCCAGCTTGTGAACCTGCTTTGGGGGAGCTCCCTGTCACCCCCCCCCCCACCAGCTCCAGCCTCAGTGTGGCTGGTTCAGCAGAACCTCAAGCCAGCATGGGCAGGAGGTGATGAACTGCCGGGAATAGCAGGGTCCCCAGCCCTTGGTAAAGCTGATGCGGATACTGTGGGGGTCACAGGGTCCCTCCCCAGGTAGCTGCCAGCCTGCTCTGTCCCCTGCCCAATTAAACACCTTTGCTGAGTAGCCAGGCAGCACCTTGAGGACAGTGAGCCCAAAGGGACCAGGGGGGCTCAGAGTGGGTGAACTGACGAAGATTGGGTGCTCGCTGCGGTTGTATGCCCAGATGCCACCTGGCTCCCGACTCAGCAGCAGCCCCCGGCCAATCTTGCCACGTGCCCGCCGGACAGCACAGCTGCGGTAGGCAGCTGGCAGCTGGGCCAGGCAGAACCCGCTGCCCCATGGCAGCTCGAAAAAGACATTCACTGATGCCTCATGCACGGCGTAGAGGCGACCCACGCGTGTCCGGTACTCCCAGTAAGCCAGCTTGCACCAACAGCCATCCTTGACGGTGCTCCATGAGAGGCTGGTGTCTGGCAGGGGAGAGCAGAGCTGTCACCACCAGGACATGACTGAACCAAGCAGCTGGATGGGCTAAGGGAAGTGGGCACAGAGGCATGGCACCAGGGATGCCTCAACACAGGGTCCTGCACTAGGTGTGAGTCTCTGGAGCTGTTCCCAGTCCCCAAGTACCGTGGTGAAGGAAGGGGTGGGGGAAGGCTGTGAGGGGTTGGTCTGTGAGTGCAGGGGAAGGTGAGGCAGTGGCAGCTGGTGGCCTTGGTGGCCAGCAGACAGGCAGGAGCGGGAGCTGTGTGCGTCAAGGCACATTGTGTGTACCCCCATAGCCAGTGATTCCTCCACTAGGGAGCCTTCAGGGGGGGGGGGGGGTGTGGTTGTCTGGGCCCAGGCTGCTCCCCCAGCAGGAACTCCTCATCCTGTGTCAAAGTCTTTTCCTCCTGCTGGGAGTGACTGCTGGCTCCATTCCCTGATTTTCATGTTCTCTCCCCTCCAATCTTTGCCTCTGACTCAGGGGTTCAGCCCTACCGAGTGCCCTCCTGCCTGCTGGGTGTGGCAGAGGGCTGTGGAGTGCGGTGAGTCCGTCTTACCGCACCAGTCCCCTGCATCATAGCTGAACTCCAGGAGCTCAGTACTGGGGTGTTGGGGCCCATCTGGCCAGGAGGGACCACAGGATGCCTTCAAGTAGGGGGGTGGCGGGATTTCTGCAGGGGAGAGAGAAGGAAATGAGAGCCTGGGAGTACATCCTGCCCACCTGGAGCCAACTGGAGCCCTGAGCCAGCCCCAGAGAGCAGGGGTCAGAGCCTGGGTGGGCGAGGCAGCCTCCAGTGCTGCCACCAGCACTCACCGGGTTCAGCCAGGCGACTGAAATGATGGGGGTTGCAGCACAGCACAGCCATGTCCCCACAGACCCCTTGGCCCCCATCACAGTAGCAGAGGTGCTTGAGCTCATGGGATTGGTGGAGGTCAGGCCAGCGGAAGACGCGACAGAGCAGGACTTGAGGGGGGAGTCCCTGCTTGACCCCTCGTGCGTCTCCGCATGGTGCTAAAATGCAGCCAGACTCCCAGGCACCCTGGCTTTCCACCACCTGCACCAGCAGCTCCAGCTCCTCATCCTTCAGCTTCTTGAAGAGGGCATGCACTGCTGGTTTGAGGGTACTGGGGGCATCCTCAGGGCTGGCTGCTGCACAGCGCTGCCGCCACAGCCTCCGCACCAGTCCAGCACGGCGTGAACGGAACATGGGGTGGTCGTGGGGACCACCTGCAGGATGGAGACAGGCATCATCCCCCATGCCCTGAGAGGGCTGTGGCTACAGGGGCTCCCAATGGCGACCCTGCTGCATCCTCCTGTTTCCTCCCAGATCCCTGGCAAGGCTGCTTTGCCTGGGTTTGCTGCTGCCATCGCCATTATGAGGGCATGGTGCCACTTCAAGGGGTACTGGCATCCCCAAGGTCACACCAAACATGAGCCCAAAAACAACCCCCACTGCTGGGGAACCTGCCTGTGCTGAGACAGTGAGGGCAGGGGTCCATATGCTCCTGCCCACAGCACCTGCCCACTCCCCTCTCATCCCCCTATCATGGGGCTGGGCAAGGGCTCCCTGCAGAAGGGGGTCTCACTCACTGCGGGTGGCGGAGGTGGGTGAGAGGCTCCAGGGCACTGCATGGGGCTGTGCTCTCAGGGCGGCCGGTGCTGCTCTGCCCGCCACGCGTCACTGCCTGGACTTTTTCCTGTGCTGGGACACTCTCCCCTCCCCCAGACCTTCCCATTTGAGGAATTAATTGATTTCCCTCATCCCAGCCAGCCCTGGGGCTGAGCCACCACCAGGGCCACCACATCAGGTCTACCACAGCAGGATGTGGCAGGCACCAATACATGGGCTTCAGTGGTCAGGGATGCCCAGCACCACGCTACCAAGGCAGCCAAGCACAACCAGGAGCCCAAACAGCACCACAGAGACCAGTGCACAACCACATGGCAGGGTCCAGCTGAGTAGCTGATCTGGGCAGGGGGAAGACATGAGGCACAGTGGCAGGCACCATTGTGGCAGACCCCATCCCTACTCGTGTCCACAAAGGGACTATTGCAAGGACCACCTAAACCTCTCATGGCATCTTGGGCAGAGGTTCCCGTTGCCCCTCAGTTCTTGACCCAGCCAGGCGTCTCCCTTCAGACAGTGGGTGAGGGTGGGAGCCTACTCCACAACAAAGGAGCTAATGTAAATGGGACCCTTATCCCACGCCAGGCCAGGCTTCCTGCTCCTGACTTCCTGCCGAGATAAGGGAGGCCACACTGGCGCCAGTGCTGCTGCCGAGGACGTGCAGAGCTTCCCCTGTGCTGAGGTCAGGCACCAGCACAGGCAGCACTGGGGTAGGGTGGGCTCACAGACCCACAGCCATCCCCAAAACCACATTCTGGTGCCAACAGCCATGGTCTGCCACAGTTTCCAGCCAGGCTGGGCCCATTGGAGGTATTTTGCTCTAGCTGCTTCCCACAGACTGAAACAGGAAATGTCCAGAAGTGGGGGGGGCAGGGCAGGCAGGAGATGCAGGCAGAACACCAGCTCCCCACACTTTCCCCTTAGCCCTGGGAGACATGGGGACCCTCAGTCTTGGACAGGGGCAAGGGGTGTGCTGGAGTGCCTTAGTGCTACCCAGGGCTAGGACTGGAAAGTTTGGGGACACACACAAACACACTCCCAGAGCTTTGGCGAAACAGATGCAGCCAGTCAGGCACTGCTCAGGTTTATTGGGGTCTCTGATCGGGCAGAACACAAACTGGAGCAGAGTCTCAGCGCCAGAAGTCCATCAACTCCATCAGCATAGGGTAACAAGCACAGTCCTGGGGACGGGAGAGAGGCACAGGGGGTAAGGACCCACTGAGCAGTACCAAGGTCACACCCTCTCAACCCCCCAGACACAGCCAGGCTCTCTGTCTCCCCTCAAGCACCATGGCCAGGCCCTTTTCACTCCAGGAGCACCATGGTTGGGCTCCATCACCCCCAAACACCACAGCCAGGCCCCTGTGATGTTCCAAGCACCATGTCAAGTCAAGCTGCAGGCAGGTCACTCACCCACAGCACCAGGACAGGCAGGGGCTGGTGTGGTCCTGTGACACCGCAGAGGCCCTTCCCTAGTCCAGCAGCTCATGGATGCACCAGCTGCAGAGAAGGAGGTAGATGCATTCCTCCAGAAGCCGCAGCAACCACGAGCCCAGGCGCAGCCCCAGGGAGATGGCAGTGGGTGATGACAGTGCCAGTGCCTGTACCAATGCCACTTGCTGAGGAGCACCTTGCAGACAGGCTGCCATGGTCCAGAAGAGGTGCATGGCCTATGACAAATCAGCAGCCTCTGACATAGTGAGAGAGGCAGCAGTGCTGACATGCAGGGCCCTGGCTAGGGGCCCTGGCAAGCACTGGAACCTGCCACATTCGCCGCATTTCTAAAGCTTCCACAATGGTACGCGCAGGGAGGGGGCACAACCTGGGAACCCTTTTGTTCCTCCCACTCCTGCCCCATGGAGCCCTCAGGGCTCAACAAGGCCACATGCCAGTGCAGTGCAGACTGCAGCGGTTTTATTTAGTGCTGAGAGGCAGCAACTTTATTCAATGTCACTCCCAGAAGCATTCCAGTGGAGCCTCCCAGAGTGTGGCCTTCACTGGCGGGATGTGCGCTCTTCTTCCTCATTTTCCAACTCATAGGCAGGCCGGTAGCTCTCCCGGCCCTGAGCATCAGTATAGCGTAGTGCTGGGTTCTTCCGTGTGTTGGCCATGCTCCCCAGGGACGTGTAGCTGCAGAGGGAAGAAGCAGCTGCAAAACTGCACCCAGCAGCACTGGCTGTGCATGTGAGAAGGGCAGCACAGGGCACTCACCCCTTGTCATAGAGGATACAGTAGGGGACAAAGAGCTTGCGCAGGAACTCCCAGATGTCCCGGTAGGTCCAGTCCTGCAGGCAGAATTGGGCAGGGATTGAAGCAGAGGCAAAAGGCTGCTCCCCTGCCTTCCAGGGAAGCAAGCCAGACCTTCCTGGGAGAACTAGATGGTCATCAGAGCACCACTGTCCCTCCCAGCACTTCCCCAAACACAGGGAAACCACCCAACAGGCAAGAATGAACCCTGTCCAACAGCTCCCAGCTGCAGCAAGGGGCACCCATGGCTGCACAGCAGGGCAGCAGATACTGTGAGAGCGAGTGAGAGAAGCTGTCTAGGATGGGAGTGGATTACTGCTGGTCCCCAGCCCCTTCAGGTCCCCCTACCAGGCCCTGTGGCAACAGTCCTAGCCCCAAAGCAGGTGGAGGCCTGGCCCATACCAGCAAGGGGTTCACCCGCATGTAAGGGGGCCAGTCAGGGTCTGTCACACACATGGGGGTCAGGGTGCGTGAGTAAGGGTCCGTCCGCCGTGTTCCCATCAGGACAGCCTCCAGCTGTGGCTGCTGCTCCTTCAGGTGGGCCAGCGCCTCCCGGATGGAGCCCTCCACAGTGCAGAGCTGAACCCCATACCTGTGCAGGCAAGGTGGGCAGTTGTCTGTGGGCTGCAAGCAACGTTGCACACCCTCTGCACAGCAGCCCACTCCACTCTGCCTCCTACCTCTGGACTGTTGCCTGAATGAACTGCTCCATTTCAGGAAATGGGGACACAGTGCGAATGTAGAGCACCTGCAGCCTCTCCTGCCTTGCTGGGAACTGCCTGCAGAGAGACCCGGTGCAGCTGGACTCTGACCGATGGCAACTGCAGCATCCAGTCCCCACCAGCTAGACCCCAGGAATCCACTTATTCCCCCAGGGCAGAGCAAGCAAGAGCCCCAGAGCCCTGGCCAGAGTCTGCAGGACCCCTCAGCCTTGCCCCAGCCTGGAGCCCCATGTGTGAGTACCTCTGCACAGCAGCATGGACAAGGTGCAGCAGGGCTGTGCAGTCCTTGCCCCCGTTGAAGCCCACGCAGAGCTGGACCAGGCTGTACCGGTCCAAAGCCTCCTCGATGGTTCGCAGAGCTGCTGCCACCTTCTGCCCCAGGGCTGAGCCTGCCAGGACAGGAAAGTTGGTGCCTGCCCAGCTCATGTTCCATCAGCATGGCTCCAGGGCCTATGGCACTTCACCCTCTGGATACGTCTCATATCCAGACTCGTAGCAGAGCTATGGCCGGCACCATAGCCAAGAGCTTGCTCAACCCAGAGATCTCGGCCACAATGTGACAGGGATCATGAAGGCAGTGGGGAACTGTGGCACTGATGCTTCTGCTGCACACTGTGCTCTCAGACCCTGCCACCACCAGCCCTAACTGAGGTTACAGGTTCCATTCCCACCTGTGTGGGATGAAGCCACTGCAGCTGCAGCACCCCTCAAGACTCCCAGCACACCACAACAGGCAAGCTCTGCTCCCAGGCTGGTGTTCCCACTGCCCCAGCCCTGCTAGGCTATACAGGAGAAGCATGGAGGCACAGAGCTGCAGCACCTCTTCTTGGTACCTGACTCAGCCAGGCCATAAACCTCCACAGCTGCTGGAGAGACACAGTCTGTCACCAATGGTACAGCAATGCCTGGTGGCAGCTCCCTCATCAAGAAGCAGTACGCTTCCTCCAGGTCCTGCTCCGACTCTGAATCCAGGGTCAGCTTCACACGGTAGTAGTTGCTGGTCCAGTCTGGGTAGGAGCCCAAGCTGACACGGCCCCGGAAGGTGGCATCAGCCCAGTCCAGCACAGGCGTGATAAACATCTCATCGGACGCCACATAGATGGTGCGGGAGTGGAAGTGGGTCTGTTTGCTTTGAAAGAGGTGAGCAAGGCCATCTAGGGCACGCTCCATCAGTGCCGGGATGCCAGGGAAGATGTAGACATTACGCACACTGACTAGTGGGTACTTGAAGGTGTTGCCAGTGTGCCGGTCTGTGCCATAGTTGAGGCGGGAGGACTCGGGGACACGAGCCAGCTTCATCTCAGGGCACTGCACCTCCATCTTGCCAAAGAACTTGTGCACCAGGGCCACCAGCTCGGGATGGAGGATAACTCTCTCCCCAAAAGCCTTAGCCACAGCCTCGAAGGTCACATCATCGTGCGTGGGGCCGATGCCCCCGGAAGTCAGCACGAAGTTGAAGCGGGCAGCAAAGGCGGCCACCTCACTGGCGATGGCCTCTACATCATCGGGCACCACTGAGATCCGGGCGACACTCACGCCAAGAGCACGAAGTCGCCGGCACATGAAGAAGGAGTTTGTATCCTGCGTGTAGCCCTGAGGGAAACGGAGACGCCCATGAC